TTTTTTTTGTTTGTTTTTTTTTATATATTACAATTGTAAAAGATTTATCATTGAATGTATTTTTTCGTAACGTTCGCACATATAAAGTTGAAATTTTATTACGCATATACTGAAGGGATATATAGCTTTACATAGTAATCCTTAAAAATTAGACGCTTCTTAAATATATTTTGCTTCAGAAATAATTTAGTACATGCTGAATAATTTTTAACAGGACATTCACTTGTAACTCTTGAGTATATGCGATAAAAGTAATTTATGTATATATTATATGGTGTCTAACTATGGCACTCTTCTCTTCTTTGTATGTTACCTTCGCTCTACCCATGGGTTGCGCACGCACACACAAATCCTTGTTTGCTGCTTGCTTCTTGTGTTGCCCGCGCCCCTTGCTTCTTTCTGACTCTACTACTTCATGCCACGAAAATTGATACTTGGAAATTGGACGATTGAAAATTGGATACCTGACACTTAATATGAAAACATAAATAAATGTAAAACAAATTGTATCTGTGACAAATGAAAAATAATGATAAAAAAAAAATACGTTAATTGCACCAAATGATGACTCTCTACAACATTTGGAACAAAATAATAATAATAAAAATAAAAATAAAAAATACGATACGAATCCAAACATATATAATTGGCAAAAAAACACTACTTGCATGTGTATAATTGCAAATATTTATCAAAATTGGATACTCGACATTTGGATACATCGATTGGGGCGTGAAATAAAAAAAATTGATCTTCGTATGATGCACGCATGACATTGACGAATTGAAATTTGGATCTAAACACTATCAATTGGAACAGTAGTCTAAAGGCATATGGTCTTGTTTCCGACAGATACACCTTCTGTCAGAAATGTTTCAACGACATTCCTGGTGACACTGTGACGTTAGGAGATGATCCGACGCAACCTCAAACGTAAGTCTCGAAATAAGTACATACGATATGTTCATTGTGTATGTTGAATGTAAAATAAATGATTCTGTTCTATTGCAGTGCCATTAAGAAGGAACAGTTCCAGGAAATGAAGAACGATCATTTGGAATTGGAGCCTTTTGTTGTGTGTACAGATTGCGGTAGAAAGGTACACCAAATTTGCGTGCTACACATGGAATCAATTTGGCCACTGGGGTAAGTGTAAATATTTTTTACAGCTATGAAAGATATCTTTACTAAATGTGAACTGTTTTGATTCCTTTTTTATAGATTTACTTGTGATAATTGCTTAAAGAAGAAGGGACAAAAACGTAAAGAGAACAAATTTAACGCTAAACGTCTACCAGTTACTAAATTGGGTACCTATATCGAAACGCGTGTAAACAATTTCTTAAAGAAAAAAGAAGCTGGTGCTGGAGAAGTCGCGATCAGAGTTGTTGCGTCCAGTGATAAAGTCGTCGAAGTGAAGCCAGGAATGCGAAGTAGATTCGTAGAAAATGGTGATATGCCTGGTGAATTTCCGTACAGAGCGAAAGCTTTGTTTGCATTTGAAGAAGTTGATGGCACAGATGTATGTTTTTTCGGTATGCATGTGCAAGAATATGGCAGTGAATGTACACCACCTAATACTCGAAGAGTTTATATCGCGTACTTGGATTCTGTACACTTTTTCCGGCCTAGACAGTTCCGAACAGCGGTGTATCACGAAATACTTCTTGGCTACTTAGACTACGCGAAACAACTGGGGTAAGTGAAATTTTTGTAATATGACATTAAAACTAACCAATATTTATTATGAATATTTTGCGTAGATACACTATGGCTCATATCTGGGCTTGTCCACCTTCCGAAGGAGACGATTACATCTTTCACTGCCATCCTCAAGAACAAAAAATCCCAAAGCCTAAAAGATTGCAAGAGTGGTACAAGAAAATGTTGGACAAAGGCATGGTCGAGAGAATTGTACTCGATTACAAAGTTAGTATTATTGTATCACTAATTTGATCACACGATACAGTCTCAAGTGTTGCTTGAGAATTAATCTGTTATACTTGAGCGTCAGACGAGACTAAAAGTAACGTCTCTAGAAGCTAATGTTCATATTGAATTCATGAATTTGAACATAGGTTTAGCAGACGACAATTAAAATTATATTTACATTTACAATTTGAACAGATCAAATCAAAGATTAATACTTGCTATTTGTTAATTTCAGGATATTTTAAAACAAGCAATGGAAGACAAACTTTCATCAGCAGCTGATTTACCATACTTCGAAGGTGATTTTTGGCCCAATGTTTTAGAAGAAAGTATCAAGGAGTTAGATCAAGAAGAAGAAGAGAAACGTAAACAGGCAGAAGCTGCGGAAGCTGCCGCTGCTAATGCGGTAAGTTTATAATATATTTTTTTTTCGATAACAAGGAACTTATCACGGTGTACTTATATAATTTTGTTACAGATTTTCTCACTTTCGGAAGATTCTGAAACAGGACCAGACGGCAAAAAGAAAGGACAGAAGAAAGCCAAAAAGTCCAATAAATCCAAAGCAAATCAAAGAAAGAATAGTAAAAAGTCGAATACTCCCCAAACAGGAAATGACCTCTCTGCAAAAATTTTTGCGACCATGGAAAAGCATAAAGAAGTATTCTTCGTTATTAGGTTGCATAGTGCTCAAAGTGCAGCCAGTTTAGCAGTAAGTATTTGCAATTACTTTATATTGATTCGTTGTGTGGTATACGAACTGTATACTTATATTCGATAATAATGTTTATTACAGCCGATCCAGGACCCCGACCCTGTTATTAATTGTGACCTTATGGATGGTCGCGATGCGTTTCTTACAATGGCCAGAGAAAGACATTACGAATTCTCCTCCTTACGGCGTGCGAAATTTAGTTCTATGTCTATGCTGTATGAATTGCACAATCAAGGCCAAGACAAGTTTGTTTATACTTGTAATAATTGTAAGAGTCATGTAGAAACGAGATATCATTGTACGGTTTGTGATGTAAGTATAGAAGTAATTATTTTTATGAAATAATTATTTATACCTTGCTGTAAATCGATCTAATATCGTTGCGTATTACAACAGGACTTTGACCTGTGTATAAGCTGTAAAGAAAAAGACGGTCATCCTCATCATATGGAGAAACTTGGTTTAGATTTGGATGATGGGTCATCGCCGGCCGATGCCAAGCAACAGAATCCACAGGTAAAATATTTTTTTTTACGAATTGAATATACCAACAATCTTGATACGAGTGTCTATAATAAATATTTTATTTTGATAACAGGAGGCGCGTAAACTGTCGATACAAAGATGTATTCAATCGTTGGTTCACGCGTGCCAGTGTAGAGATGCTAACTGTCGTCTAACAAGCTGTCAGAAGATGAAGAGAGTAGTAACGCATACGAAAGTTTGTAAACGAAAGACGAACGGTGGTTGTCCAATATGTAAACAATTGATAGCGCTGTGCTGTTACCATGCTAAACACTGCCAAGAGACTAAATGTCTTGTTCCATTCTGTTCGAACATCAAACATAAACTAAAGCAACAACAGCTTCAACAACGATTACAACAAGCGCAGTTGTTAAGGTAAATAAAAAATAATAATAATAATAGTACTAACAACAACAACTCGATTGGAATGAAAATAATTTCAGAACATTATATAATTAAATTTGTCTTTTTCCTGCTTTTAGGAGACGAATGGCTGTGATGAATACCAGACCCACAGGTCCTGTAGGAGCGATACAATCTGTACAACAGAGTTCAAACGTTACTATGACTACCGGTGTAGCTATGAAACCAGGAGTTAGTCCTACCAATCTACCTTCACCTCATCAACCTGGAATTGGTTTGAAACCTGGCACGCAAACACCACCCGCTCATGTCCTTCAAGTCGTTAAGCAAGTACAAGAAGAAGCTGCGAGGCAGCAGGTGCCACATGGGTATGGTAAAGTAACACCAGGCGGTGGAGTCGCTGTTGGTGTTGGTGTAGGAGGACAAACGGGTGGGGTAATGCCACCGCCACAAATGCAACGGCCAATGCCCGTCCAGATGCCAAATCCCGGTGGTACACATCTCATTCCAATGGATCAATGGACGGCAAGGTAATCTATTTAAACGGAGTGCAGAAAAAAATAGTATAAAGGTATGTATGGTACGAATAAAATATTCAATAATGTTGCTTACTTACAGTAGGTATCAGCCGAATGCAGTGATGCAGCAGAATCCTGGTTTGAGGCAGCAAACGCCGCAGCAGTTAATGCAGCAGCAACAACAACATCAAGGACAGCCAGGAATAGGAATGGGAGGACAAATGCCGAGACAACAAGGAGTAATGGGTGGTCCGGTTAGTCAGATTGGACCGCAGGCCCAAAGTAACATGCACAAGCAAGTATTGCAGCAACTGATGCAAACACTTAAAAATCCCCATACTCCGGAGCAACAAAACCAAATACTTCAAATACTCAAAAGCAATCCACCGATAATGGCTGCATTCATTAAGCAACGGGTATGATGATTAACATTTACTATGTATTATTTGCTGTTTTCACTCTCGGTTCTGATCATTTCTATTACTTTATGATTTTTTTAATAAAAAGGCGCTTGCCCTTCAGCAACAAAGTGGTCAATACGGCGGAGGAGTCGGCGGACCTTTGGGTCCTAATCAGCCGCAACAACAACCTGGTTTGCAGCATATGATGACTCAGCAGCAGCAGCAACAACATCAGCAGCAGCAGCAGCAGCAGCAACAACAGCAGCAGCAGCAGCCAGGCAGAATGCAAATACAGGCGATGCTAAATCAGCAGCAGCAACAACAGCAGCAGCAGCAGCAGCAACAACAACAGCAGCAGCAGCAACAACCTGGTTTGCAGCAGCCTGTTCAGCAGCAATCGCAGTGGTATAAACAGCAAATGCTGGTAATGCAGAGGCAGCAGCAAGCTCAACAACAGCAGCAGCAGCAGCAACAACAGCAGCAGCAGCAACAACAACAACAACAACAACAACAGTTTACTCAACCGCCAGCTCCTCCTTACGGTCAACAGCGACCCATCAGGCCGTCCCTTCTCGGTAAGAATTATTTAATTCTGGAGAAAACGAGATTCGCACAGCCGGCGGTTGGTTCGTGGTCTAACGCTTGCCACGATTCCGCGTATTCTTCCCCAGGTTATGGTGGCTTTAGCGAACAAGGATACGGTCAACCCGGTTTAAAGCCAACACCACCACCAGTACCTTCTCCGCAAGGTGTGATGGGACCTCCAGGGATCTCTGTACAGCAACAATTAATGCAGTCCGTTCGATCTCCACCGCCAATTCGATCTCCTCAACCAAATCCCTCCCCACGACCGGTCCCATCTCCGCGCAATCAGCCAGTTCCTTCTCCTCGATCAGGGCCGGTACCTTCGCCTCATCATCATCCACCACACGGTACGCCGACGCATTCACCGGCTCACGAACTAGGCGGGCCAAGCGAAATGATGCTTTCGCAGTTGAGCGGCGGAACAGGTGCACCGACCGGTCACCCGGGTAACATGCCTCATCATCCGTCTCCGGCCCCACCGCCCACTAGTGGCACGGACTCCAGTGAAGTGACGCCCATGACGCCACAAGACCAACTTTCGAAATTTGTCGAAGGATTGTAGTGACTGTTAGTGAAGTCGGTCAATACGAGTGACTACGTTAGTGGGCGAACGATGATCTCGCATCGTATGTCAACCGTTTGAAGGACGGTCGCTGTTCCATCTCTCTGTCATGAAAGTCAGAGAGAAGAGTATAACCTCCATCCGTTCTGCGTTCCTAGCTTCGTGGAGATCAGGTACAACTACTTACGTCCGGTACGCTGACCAAAGTGTTGATGTTCAGAGACGAGTCAGTAGTACCAACTGGTGCGACCAAATTAATCCGGATGACGCGTGTTTCCTCTTTCTATCTCCGAGTTAAGGTGCAGGAGCGATATACAGCGTGATGTGGTGCTGCTTAGATGCTCCGCGAAGATTCTACAGCTGGCTCAATGGACACACAGTAAATCAAGAGAGAGAGACTATTGATACGTTCTCCCCCCAAAAGAAAAAGAAACACATAAACGCATATACACACTCGCATACATTTGACATAAAAAGTCGTCACACGTACACACACAAAAAGAAACACACACTATGTCCTATGCTCTATCTTTTACTCCCCTTACACACGACCTTTTCATCTATACCACCTTCCCTCGCTGCTGCTCGTGCAGGCTGAGTGAATCGTACAAATGTGTTGTGTATACTTAACGTTAATTAATAATTAATAGTTCAAATATTATTAGCGTAGCGATTATATGCAGTTATTATATACCACTATTATTATTATCGTGACAAGATGCAAAGTATATAAACAAAAAGAAAAAGGACTGTATGAAACGGAAAGATATTGATTAAAAAAAGAAAAAACAAAACCAACAACAATTGTATGTAAGGAAGGGAGAACAGAATTTAGTGGAAAAGTTAAGTAATGTTAACTTAGGCTAATTTGTTATTAAGAGATCGCTACGGTCGCCGAAGGTTGTACCTTAGCGCCAATTAAATTTTATGGATCATTCTGAAATTAATCCTCAAAAAATAATCTGCTGAATCATTCAATGGGAAATGACGATTCTCGTAATGACAGGACAGGCGAGACAACGCGGATTAACGGTGTCGCAACCAAAAAGTAGAAATTCACGACAAGCTGCTATTTGCTAGAGTACGGGAGGATTTATAAATCGTTAATTTTGAAGAAAAAAAAAAAGCAAGTTTTTCAAATCGAGGGTCCAACATGTACAGTTCAATCAAAATATGTAGCTACGAAGCGTAACCGAAACCCGGACCCTCGCGTGAAAAGCGTTCTGTACATACTATACTATTATTACGATAATAATAACGATTATTATTAATTTCCCTGTCTATTATGA